TGGCCGCCCTCAGCCCAGGCCAAAACGGGGGAAAAAGACCCCGCACAAAAATTCAGGGCCTAGGCGTGTGATAGTTGTCGTGACACGAACAGTCTAAGTCCAAAGGTACCCAGCAGGGCGCCGGTCAAGCACACACACTTGTTTGTATGCAGGTACCCAGACAGCATCAGGTCCAAGGGGAAGTCTGCAACTATACACAATCGGGGCCCTCGGCTGTGAGGCAATCTGGACGACTGAGGGAACAGGACCCGAGGCCATACAGCCTCGTCAAATACTACTTAAAGGCTCGCCTCCAGGTGGTCAACATTCAGTCTTGCTATGCTGCTTGGACGCTGGCTTGACTTCGACTTGACGCTGGCATTGATGCTGGCAAGACGCTGGCTGGACTCTGGCGGAGTGCAGGCACTGTGGACGACAACGACAACATGCTGGCGCATTCTGCATTGTGCACCAAGCATGATGATGTGGCGCTGCCTCTGGTCTGCATTGCATGCTGATGTGGCACTGCCTCTAGTCTACATTGCATGCTGATGTGGCACTGCCTCCGGTCTACATTGCATGCTGATGTGGCGCTGCCTCTGGTCTACATTGCATGCTGATGTGGCACTGCCTCTGGTCTACATTGCATGTTGATGTGGCGCTGCCACTGGTCTACATGGCAGGCTGATGTGGTGCTACCTCTGGTTTTCATTGATGATGTGGCACATGCCACCTGTCTCCACTGCTGACGTGGCGTTGTCCACGCTGTCTACATGAGGTGACTGGTTGCGAGCAGGAGGAAAATCGGGATCTGTGGATGACTGGGATCGTGTACTCACCAGAGGTTGACGTTGTCACTGTATTCTGCTGAGTCTTCATGGTCTTCACGAGATGAGAGTGCCACGTGGCACTACTGTGTGATCAGGATTATCATACTTATTATCATACACTGGTTGATCATGTGGAGAAGGAAGAAGCCCGAAGGAGTGGGGTTTGTTTGGATTATTCTCGAGTGATCATTGATAATCTCTCCCACCTTCTCCTCTGTCTACTCCCCCTGCACTCTCTTTGTCTAATGGTAGTGAGATACTGTTTTCAGATATCATTTTATGATAATTGGAGACTATGCTGCAGATACTGAGACTACTGATGTTTGAGGACTGTTGAGTATCTGCCAGATTGGGTTCATTACAATTAAACTGCTTAGTGCACATGATTTTCCGTTTTTTTTGCCCTTCTTTTTTGAAGAACTTGATCGACCACGGATCAGATATGAAACTGACCAGAACAGATACTACACCTGATCGTGGGGGGATGGTCGAGTTTCTCTCTCTCTCTCTCTCTTTCTCTCTCTCTCTAGCGTGCGCGCACGTACACAATTTTTTTTGGACCATGGATCAGATAGTACACTTGATTCGTTTGCGAGGGGGCCGGGGGCGGCTTGCGCATAGTTAGTTAGACTGGGGTCTCTCTCTCTTTCCCTCTCGCCCTCTCTCTAGTCTCTCTCCCGCATCTTGGGCGCGCTTGCTTTCCCCCCCCCCCCATTTTTAACTGTCTCGATGAACCACGGAATTGATAGAAGCAGATACTGCACTTGCTCGTGTGGGGTCTCTCTCTCTCTCTCTCTCTCTCTCGTTCGCGAGTGCTTTTGCTTTTCTTTCTATAAATAAAAAGGTCTCGATGGACCACGGATCAGATATGTCACTGAACGGAGCACATACTACGGGTTCATGCGAGAAGATCAGAAATGAAACTGATCGAAGCAGATACTAACTGGATCGTGCGGGGGGGAGGTGGTTGAGGCCCATAGTTAGTTAGGTTGGGTTCTCTCTCTCTGTCTCTCTCTCTCTCTCCCTCTCTCTCTCTTGTGTGTGTGCATGCGCTCACGTGCTTTTTTCTTCTTTTTGAAATAAAACCATCTCGATGGACCACGAATCAGATATGAAACCGAACGGAGCACAGATACTACACTTGATCGTGCGGGGAGAAAGGATCAAATACGAAACTGATCGAAGCAGATACTGCACTTGATCATTGGGGGGCTAGAGGGGCAGGAGACCCTTAGTTGAGTTCTCTCTCTCTCTCTCTCTCTCTCTCTCTCTCTCTCTCTCTCTCTCCCCCTTCGTTGGACCACGGATCAGATATGAAACTGAACGAAGTAGACACTATGCTTGATCGTGTGTGGGGGAGGCGCCTAGTTGGGTTCTCCTCTCTCTCTCTCTCTCTCTCTCTCTCTCTATCTATCTATCTATCTATCTCTATCTCTCTCTCTTTTCGATAGACCACGGATCAGATATGAAACTGAATGGAGTAGATACTACACTTGATCGCGTGGGGGGGAGGATAGATATGAAACTGATCGCAGCAGATTCTACACTTGATCGTGTGGGGGGAGGGGAGGGGAGGCACATAGTTAGGTTAGGTTCTCTCTCTCTGTCTCTCTCACTCTCTCTCTCTCACTCTCTCTCTCTCCCTCTCTCTCTCTCTCTTGCTTGCTCGATCGCACACGTGCTTTTTTTTAATCAAAGAAAAAGGTCTCGATGGACCACAGATCAGATATGAAACTGAACAGACCATTAGTACGCTTGATCGTATGGATGGTAGGATCAGATATGAAACTGAGAGAAACAGATACTACACTTGATAGTTAGTCAGGTTGGGCTCTCTCTCTCTCTCTCTCTCTCTCTCTCACGGGCACGGCATTTTCCTTCTTTTTTTTCAGATGGTCTCGCGCACCCTTGATGGTTGTGGGCTAGGAGGGGGTCGTAGTTAGTTCTCTCTCTCTCGCGCGCGGGCGCGCGCGGGCGTGCACTCGCGCGTTGTTTTCCGTTTCTTTCTGTGGGTCCCGATGGACTGCGGATCAGATATGAAACAGATTGGTGCAGATAAGACACTTGACAGCAGGTTGTAGGTTGTCCCTCTCTCTCTCTCTCTTTCCCCCCCGCGCGCGTGCTGTTTTCCGTTTCTTTCTTTTTGGGTCCCGATGGACCACAGATCAGATATGAAAGTGATTGGTGCAGATAATACACTTGACAACAGGTCGTAAGTCGTACACCTCTCTCGCTCTCTCTCTCTCTCTCTCTCTCTCTCTCTCCATCTATCTATCTACCTCTCACCCACCCACACACACACACGCGCGGACACATACACACTCTCTCTCTCTCGTAGTTCCAAGACCACGAAAACGAAAGCAACAGACACGAATAACAAACTCACCGTCAGTCATCAAGGTGCGGTCGTTGGAAAGCCTTGACGCCGCACATGTGTTGGTGTGCGTGTGAGCATGTGCGTGTGTCCAACGTAGAGCGAAGTCGTAGTCGAGCATAGCAGCGTAGAAGTCAGTCGGAGTCGAGCGCTGTAACCTAGGGTATGAAAAGTCAAAAGTCGATTGGAGGGCAGGTGTGGTGTGGGGCCACGCGGTTTTTCCCGCAACGCCTCCCAAAGTCGGGAGAAACTTTGTTACGTCTGGGCACTTGGTGCTGGCTCGGCAATGTTCGACAGTACCGGTGCTCGCGCGGGGGCCCAGTACCTTGTGTGGTATCGGCTCCCGTGCATGGGCCCCGTACCAGGTGTGGTACCGGCACTGGCATGTGAAACCAGTACAGGCCCTGGCGACGCTTCAACTTCTAAGAAAAAACGATCAGCAGACGATCGGGACCATCGTGCAGCAAAAAATCGGAGGGCCCCGATCGTCTGCTTGTCACAGGCAGGAAAATGGGGCTGGCCTTTGAGCAGCCACTCCCTTCCCAAGCGAAATCAAGAATCCAAAGACCGACATTCTCACGACTTCAAAAGCAGTGCTACTGGACCTAGATGGCTAGCGGCCCCAAAAGAAGGGGGGGGGAAAACCTCCACCAGGGTGGTGCTTGTCTTTGGGCGCGGGGAAGTCCACATCGGCAAAGAGGCTCAGAGGTAATGGTGGTTAAGACCATTGAGTCGCATTGACCAACTACCTTACTTCACTGGTCGCCGCCTCTCCAACGAACCGGTAGGACCAGCCTCCCCATTAGTTGCAGAGGATAAGGCCCAGCTAACCCGTGGGGACGGTTGTCATACTGGGAAAAGAAGAGTCCCAGCCACGCACATGCAGCCTCCCGAAGCAACAAAAGGAGACGAGGCCGCAGCGTTCCACGCATGTAGAGAATTACTGCCAGTGCTAGCTCTGCTCTAAGTGCAAACAGTCGAGCATTAACGAAGGAGAACGGGAGGACAGCCAGCGGTAGCTGCTCCGCTTGGCTGCAGCCACAGCTGCGCCAACAAGGACGAAGTGTTGCTGGGGCTGGGGGTGAACAGGAAGAAGGACAGCGGTGGGAACAGGACTTGCTGGGCGGTGGCCAAATTGCACACTCAGGGTGGCCAGACTGTGCAGCGTTGTTAGGCGAGAGGAAAGTGGACAGAGAGAAGGGAGGTGAGAGAGAGAAGCAGCTCTGCTCTACTGCAGATGCGGGGATGCGATCACATTAGCCAGCCTGACCAGCGTTGCATATGTTTCACCACTACTGTTGTTGATTGGTGAATGTGAGAAGGTGAAATTGTTCTTCATTGGAATACTTGTTCAATATTTCATTTCGTTTCTGCACATTGCTCGGTCAATTAGTCCACACTTAGGCTATAAGAACATAACAACAGTTTCTTCTTCGCAGTATTCCCGCAATTCAGAGGGATTGTCCGTCGACTAGGAAGCATGAAAAGCATTACGTGTCAGTTTGAACCATTTCACAAGGATGTCCACCACTTAACACACATACCCATGGGCGTGCACAAGTGCCGTCACGCACAAGCAGTCGTTCAGGCTAGTTGTGCTGAGGATTTGTTGCCAGGCATAGACCTTGCAACGCAGGAATGCTGGCATTGAAGCTTTCAGGACAACTCGGAATGCAACACAGACAATCTTCCCTTCTGACAGCCGACAAATTCCCTTACTTCCACCTCTTCACAGCCCTCTCAAAATGAAAACCGTGACACCCCCAGATTGTGATGCATCAAGATTGTGATATCTGCTGGAAGGCAAAACTACCAACCAGGTCACTGGAGTGCTGATCTGCTGCCCCTGTCCTTCCAAGTATGTCCAAACGCTCAGCCATATCCTCTGGAGAATCTGGTGCTCCATCCTGCTGAGGAATTTCGTTCACATCATACTGATACCGAGGCCTAGGTGGAGATGGGCTCTCTCGTTTGCGTTTCCTTTCGGCTGCAGCAGCAAAAAAATCCTGCACATACGTAAGACAAGTTTTTCCAACAAAACAAGCCTGATAAGCAGAGCCACACTTGGGAAGGCATACACTGCATGTAAGGAACCCTGCAACCCCCTTTGGCCCTACCGTCGCTCCCTCAAGAGTCTCCCTTCACGTCATCAACACAAGAAGAGAGCCTCTCATTGTTCTCAAGTTGCCTGGCGCCCGTACCTACATAGCGAGTTGGTTAGATTAAGGTCCTGGAGTCGGATTGCAGGCCGCAATGATGCTCACACCAAAAGGCAGGAACACACTGTAGGCCTAGCACACCAGAGAGGCAGTAGAACCTCGGACAAAGTGAGGATGGGGGCTGAGTGGCAAGAGCATATGGGTCGGGCACATTGAGGGAGGCAACACATTACCCGGCGGTCATGCTGCTACTTCGCCTACAGGGTGAAGGTAAGGCTGAGCTCCTGCTGAGATCTTGATACCTTCACCCTTTGGATGGGCTGGAGTGTGAGGAAGAAGACCTCCATGACTACGTAGTAGTAGTATGGTGTAGGCCGAGGCTATGGAGGCAGAGGGTGAAGAGCCTCATGCCAGGCCATATTCATTCATCTGCCATTGTATTCAACTGATTATTGAAGAAGGAGGAAGGGATACAAAGACGAGAGGGAGAAGTTTCAACTTGTGCGGTTCTTTTTCTGTTCTCTTCATTCTCTCTCTCTCTCTCTCTCTACGAGCAAGTCTTGCATTTTCTCGCATGTCAGTTTTGCATTGTGAATAAAGTAGGATCACAGTAGAGCCAGCGGGGCTCCACCCGCGTGAGGAACGGATATTAATGGAGTTCATATAAGTGTGTTCGGGGGCTCCACCCACATGAGCAACGGATATTAATGGAATTTTTTTGTTGTTTTACTTTTCTTTATGGTGGGGCCTCAGCAAAACTGCTACTAACTTACTGAACATACTGCCTGGGGATTGTAAAGGAAAAAAACGCCCCACAGGGGAAATAATCGTACACAGCGCCCAGATGTTATTATCAGGTTAAGAAGGTGGCGTCAAAGCCATACATCGAGAGATGGTTAACAGAGCCCTAAATTTTCAGGGTTTTTCAGGGTCATCATAACAAAGATTCCACACCTTTTAAGCCAGACCAAAAACAAAACAGGGCAAAAAGAAAAAGGAAGAAGAAAACTGAAAAATATCATGGTAACCGACCGTACATCCGGACCGGTTTCCAGACACCCCCAAACATAGTGTAGGGGTCCGGTGTCCGGTCCTGGACGTCCGGAACCGGGCCCCCCAACGAAAAATCAGAAAAAAAAAGGGGCCGCCAAGGACATTATTCGGGTCCTCGGAGGCCCCGAAATAATACTGGGCCGATTTTTTAGCGTCTTTTCGCCCTACCGGACATTGGTCGAAAGGCCGGACCCACCACAGTCTGTGCAGACTCAGGTGGTGTGGCGGGAGGCAGGGCCAGCACTTTCAAACTGGCCGTTTTTGAATCTCGCGGGCGCGCTGTCTGCTGCCCGTCACGTCCCCCCTGCAGCCCCGCAGCCATCCACGTCCAGCAATTGCTGACGAACCAGCCAGCCGCTACCAACGTCCAACAACCAGGTCAGTCTCTCTCTCTCTCTCTCTCTTCCGGGTTTGTCCTTTCTTCTGGCTTTGTCCTTTCTTCAACAGCGGGAACTTCAGAGGAGATTCGGGGAGGGAGAGGGGAGGTATGCAGTGGGAGGAAGGAGGCTCAGGGAGCGAGGAATGGAGACCGGCGGGTAGGGTCAGGAAAGATGGGAGGTTGGTATGGAGACTGGCGGGAAATAAAGGGGAAAGATAGGGGATACGGGGTTGGGATGGAGACTGGCGGGAAAGAAAGGGGAGGTCCGGGAGGAGGTTCAGGGAGGGAGGGGGAATGTTACATGCTGCGCCTGCACACGAGGGCCATTTTCCAGGCCCTGCGTCCCTCAGGCTGAAAGCCTGAAAACCAGGGCCTACAGGCCCCGTGTCTGTTTTAGCCTGACAGCCTGAAAACCAGGGCCTACAGGCCCCGTGTCTGTTTCAGCCTGACA